GATTGTCCACAATCTATTGACTGTCAACCATATGACAGGTGTGATAATAGTGATACTTATCAGACATCCCGTTGTGGAAGAATCCTGAGATCTCCTAAGCGACTGGACTTATGATTTTGAGTTTCATTATTCTCTTGAAACTCAAAGGTGGGAGAATGTCGAAAATGATGTCGAACTAGAACTTTTGATTTGTATGTCACGTGAACACTTTCCCTCTCTTAACTGTAACCAACCGTACTTCGGTTTAAGAACTGTACTTCCTTGTTAGTAGTTAGCCGCGCTAAGATGCGCTTTCTCTGTCTGTATGTCTGTCTGTAAATTTTTGTATCTTCTCGTCATTAATATTCTTAATAAAAAGTAATTGAAATAGAATATTGGAATTATCTGCCTACTTCCCGACCCTTTGGATACCTCTTAATAATCCTGGAACTGGAATGGTAAGAGAAATTTTATATGAACCTTTCTAGTTTTATTTAGGAGGATTGTTTGGTGTTATAATAATATCCTTCGGTTACAAAAAAACGCCAATGTAATCTAATTTTACTTTTGCTATTTACACACCGAATCCCTATTTCCATACGAATTGACATAGTTTGAGATTGACACGCATCATGAAAATATAAATCATAGTGCTATTGCGCAGCTGACCCGGAAACCGGCTGTTGACATATCTATAAGTTGCTGGAATATGAATCATTTTAAAATGAATGATTCGTATCATACGTACTGATTTTCACTATTTATACGGTTTTCACCCATCATTATATCTAAGCGCTTTGCTGAATACGTGTATGAACCCCTTCGTAAAAGTTTTTTTTTTTCTTTCTAATGCAGCTGGCAAACACTTAAACAGCTAGGTCTGGGATGCCTTAAGGCAAGTGCTGCACAAATGTACTCGCATTGCATTACCCAGGGGGTGCGTGTAACTTGAAGATAAGTCATGGACGCGGAGTAACAATGCCCCCGCAACGCTCTACGATTCTATTAGGACCGGGACCTACAGTTTAAAGTGTATTCCGAACAACTACAAACATCCATGGCACCGCCGGGACTCGAACCCGAAACCTGTGGTACCGAGCGCCAGAGCACTAGCCACTTGGCCATTCAGGCTCCTCTTCGTAAAAGTAAAATTAAACATCTTTTTTGTGATACTTTATATTATTTTTTTTAGGTAAATTGTTCAGATTTTTGAAACATATCATGTTGAGCCAGATATATACTATTATTATAATTACTTTCATATGATTTACAATTGTAGTATAATTTCACATTTTTATTTTCTTATTAATTTCATATTTTTTGTTTTGAAATTCCCTTGATAATATTAGTAATCTATTTTTAATCGTATGATTTTAAAAATTGCAAAAAAAAAAAAAGAAAATGAATTTTTTTCACATAAAATTATGACCAAAAATTATTTATGAGTTCATTAGTTAATTTTCCTTAATAAGTTCTTTAAGGCGTAGGTCCCGGTTTGTTTAGCCCTCGTGCGCATAAGATGACCGTAGAGCGATGAACCAAACCGAACCAAACCTTAATATGTTAGTTTCAGTTACTAAACATTTAAATTTTAGGTGTCAAAAAGTGTATTCAATTTTATATTAGGTGCTTTAGTGCAGCTTATATTTGTTAAGAAAGATTATAAGTTTGCGTCTAGTCGTCTGATTTACTTTCTTTTCAAAAATTTCTAAAGTAAAAGTTGCTACTTTATAATTTTTTCTTAAAAAGTGGCAGCAATATACTAAATATGATTTTTTTTTAAATTGGTTATATTTCAAAATGAAATAACAGATGATTCTAGTTCACCTACAGATCAGAAACCTGAATTTGTTAAATGATTTTCGCATTATATATAAGTGGCGAGCTGCTAAAAGAAACTCAATATTTAATAATAACTTTATTAAATGTAGAATATCTGTGAATTATTAGACCCATTTTAAAAACCTATGATGAAGGATATATAAAATATATTTTTTTAAAAAGCAAAAGGTCAAAGACGTAGGTTTGACAACCATACCCGTAAAAAGGAAACATCTCCTGTCTCGAAATCTGCAATTAGGCAGGCGGCTTTGGCCCACCATGGGGCTGCCGCGCCAATGATGATGGTGATAATGAGCATAAATATTAAATTTTTTTCTTCCAAAACTGCTTTGCGCTGCTTATATATCTACCTCGCACCCTTAACAAGTATTTGAATCGTCCATTTCCGCTTTTAAAACGGGTTTGCTATTCCATATAATCGGTGGTACTCTATCAACTATACTTACTTCCAACATCGTAGTATGTCTTCAGTTATAATTGAGTTAAATATGAAGAAATATTAAAAAATTATTATAAATTTGATATAAAGGTAACGTATTAACGCTACCTTGGCTATAGATTTGGCGGTTTTTTTAAAGTGTCGCCAATCTAACAGCTGCAAATTTTCTGATTTTTGACGCCATTTTTTAGTGCTACGAAAATGCGTATTTGGGATTTACCAGAAACAGAACAAGATGCAATTTTATTTTTTCAGGAGCAAAATATTTTACCAAAAAAACAAAAATTTCCCAATTCCCATGACATGAAACTTTAAATTGGTAAACGTAAGTTTTGGAAATGCAATTTCAGTCAGTGGGCTTATCATGTGGGACTTAGAAAAGACAACTGGTTTGAGGGAAGCAGAATTTTAAAAACCGCCAAATCTGTAGCTGCGGTTGGCGTTCAAAAGATAACTGCGTGCGCGTGCAAACAACAAGATTGCTCTTTATTGGCGCAACTGTAGCCAAGGTAGCGTTAATACGTAAGTACCGATATAAATTTACAAAGATAAAAATAAGATTACATCTACTCTGCAGTTTCTAAATAAAATCACTTTGAAATTGAATCCGGCTATATCGAACAAGCATGAATTATTCAATATTAATTAGAAAAAATAAATTTGATGTTTGACAATAAAAATTTATTATTTATTTATTATTTACATCATGTAATTTTTCTCCACGTGCCATTTAAGTTAATTCCATAATTTAGCATGCCTCATAAATGGTCGTGCTCAAAGTGCGATTCATTTCCAGTAATTATAAAATGTTACATGGAAAATATATTCTATAATAAAAGATATTAATTCTACTTATATTTATAGAAAATGATATACTAAAGGGGAATTGTTAAATTGCACTTACCGGCTTTTTGTTTCATTTTATCTTCATTTTGATTGTGTAATTTACCATCTATTGTTGAAATCGCCTTTTTGTTGATATCATGCTTTTTGGAATCCAAAGTCTTCTTAGTAGATGCACTGGGATCTTTAGAATAATTTTTCATTTTTTCATTTATATTTCAATATACTTATTTTCACAAGATCAGTATAAGTGTAGCATTCAGTTTCTAAAATAAAAAATGCTTCAATTAATAAAAATATTATAATACAAATAAGTCAGTTTATAAATATTACAGTATCATAGATTATATTGATTACTTACTTCATTTCAGAATTCTCAATACTACCTGTTATTTTTATTTCATTTATTTTGAATTGTTCCACAAATAATATTTAACTTTATATATATTAAAGAAAACATATTTAATAAAATAAATATTCATTTACTTCACTTTCTCTAAACATGTAATACGAATATAAAATTGGACTGGCATGGTGGTTAGTGGAATGAGTTTCTAAATTTAGGAGATCTATATCAGTATAACATTCGGTATAAGTGTAACATCAGTATAAATGTAACATTCAGTTTCTAAAATAAAATAAAAAAGGCTTCATTTAATAAAAATGTTTTAATACAACTAAGAAAATTTACAAATATTACAATATCATAGACTATATTATTTATTTCATTTCAGAATTCTCAAAATTACCTATTATTTTTTCATTTATTTCGAATTATTTCATAAATTTAACCTTATATACATTAAAAGAAAAATATCTCATAAAATAAATATTAATTTACTTCACTTTCTCTGAGCATCCAAGCGGCCTGATGGCCAATTAGCTAATGTTCTTGCAGTTGGTGTCACAGGCTTCAGGTTCGAATCCTGGCGGTGTCATGGAGGTTTATTAGCGGTTCGGAATCCACAGGTCCCGGTCTAATTAGGCTTAAGTGTGCACAAAATGTCTGTGGAGTGTCAAACCAAACCAAACTGAATATGAATACAATGTGAATTAAGACTGGAGAGAGACATGATAGTAGTGTGTTGGATTAGGAGATCAGTTATTGATTTTAGGAGATCAGTTATTGATTTTAGGAGATCAGTTATTGATTTTAGGAGATCAGTTACTGATTTTAGGACATCAAATTTTTTTTTCTCATGCAGCTGGCCTTAAGGCAAGCGCATCTGGCAGTTATGACTTAAGGCAGGCGCCGCACCGACGTTACTCACTTAGCACTACCCAGGAGGTGCGTGTAGCTTGAAAATAAGCTACGGACGCGGAGTAGCGATACCCCCGCTACGCTCTACGATATTGTTAGACCGGAACCTTCGGTTTAGAGGTGATTCCGAATCACTACAAACATCCATGGCACCACCGAGACTCGAACCCGAAACCTATGTTACCGACAGCCATAGCGCTATCCACTCGGCCATCAGGCCCTCAGAAGATCATTTGTAACCTGAAAAGTAAGTCAAATCCTAAGTTAACTCCGAAGATGAGTAAAATTAAACGTGTTGATTGAAAAACTGTTCTTGCATACGGAAATATCATTACATTTTTTTCCAACGCAGCTGGCAAACAGACATGGACGTCTTAGATGTCTTAAGGCAAACGCTGCACAGACGTTACTCACTTTGCATTACCTAGGGGGCGCGTGTCAATTGAAGATAAGCCACGGACGGGGAGTAACAATGCCCCCGCAACGTTCTACGATCCTATTAGACCGGGACCTACGTTTTAAAGTGGATTCCGAACCACTACACACATCCATGGCACCGCCGGGACTCGAACCCGAAACCTGTGGCACCGAGCGCCAGAGCGCTAGACACTCGGCCATTCAGGTCCCAAATTTGCCAACGGCACGCGGTGTTCCCAGGTGGTCACCCACCCAAGTACTGACCGCGCCCAATGATGCTTGACTTCGGTGATCTAACGAGAACCGGTATATTCAGCATGGCACTATAAAATAATGTACTGAATTATAAAAGTACTATTTTGAATTGAAAATTATTGTATTTCTAACATAATGAAACCGATGCATTCTTCTCTAACAAATATAGAATTACATTCCTGTATATATTAGTGATGGTACAAAAATTACTCATGTGTCTATTTAAACAAATTCCTAAGCGAAAACAAACAGTGATTATTTTTGTAAAGTAATTATAATGTAACAAGATTTTACATTAAGTTACTAATAGACAATAAATAATTCAACTATTTTCGTAGTGTGAAAATCAAATAATGCATCATTCTTCTCATATTAGTAGTAGCCTGATGGCCAATTGGCATTCTGGTCTTTGGCACCACAGGCCTTTCAGGCCCAATATTAAATTTCTAAGCATTTCTTTCTGTATTTTTTCTTATTTAATGCAAAAATAACTACATACTGCAATGTTGGAAGTAGGTAAGGTCGATAGGAATACCACTGATGTTAAGCAAAAATAAACATCAGTTGTAAAAGCGGAAATGGATGAATCAAATATTTGTTAAGGGTACAAAGCAGATATAAGCAGCACAAAGCAGTTTTGGAAGAAAAAAAATTGTTAGTTACGTTGGAATGTTTTGTTTTTCATCTGATTTTCCTTTTGATATTGTGTTATTCAATATTTTAAATATTAAATTGCTAATTTCCCACAAAACCGTTTTAGCCGTTTAATGCCGTTTATTTTAACCTGCCGTTTATTTTAACTATTATTAAAAACCCTTAATTATTTTAACCGTACTGAGCGCCAAAGCGCTGGCCACTCGGCCATTCAGGCCCTAAATACCATTACATAGAAATAAAGAATTTCGGATTTCAAGAATCTGGGTTAGAATGTTTAACTATAACGGCCTCTTTGTGGTGATAGGTTCACGGTCCAAAACTATAGAAGGAAATGCTTGTCATGTGTTATTGACAGAAAAGATTATTATTTATTATTTGTATCTGAAGAAGATGATGATAGATTATTTATCTAAAATATATGACTGAGGAACGAATAAACAGTTTTAAAGCATGATGGGTTCACTGTCTGAACTTTCAGAAACGTGAAATTATAATCTATTGGTGACAAAAAATGTAATTATTAATTTATATTAATTAAAGATGATGGTGTATTATTTTTTAAATGTAGCATGGATGATTGATTAAAATGATTGATTGATGGATGATTGATTGATTAGAGGTTTAAAATTTTAGTAGCTTAGAATTATAATGCTATGAATACAAAAAATATTCGTAATTTATTATCTATATTGGTTGTAGACGGGACCTGATGACCGAGGGGATTAGAGCTCTGGTGAACGTTAATACAGGTTTCGGGTTGGAGTCGCTGCGGTGCCATGGATGTTTCTAGTGCTTCGGAATCCACTTTCAACCGTAGGTCCCGGTCTAATAGGATCGTAGAGCGTTGTGGAGGTATTGTTACTCCGCGTCCGTAGCTTATCTTCACGCTACACGCCCCTCCTGGGTAGTGCTAAGTGAGTAACGTATGTGCAGCGCTTGCCTTAAGGCATCCAAGACCAAGCTGTCTAAGTATTTACCAGCTGCATTAGAATAAAAAAAAATTATCTATATTGCTTGTAAACCGGGCCTGATGGCCGAGTGACTTGCGCTCCGGTGCACGTTACCACAAAGGTTTCGGGTTCGAGTCCCGGCAGTGCCATGGATTTTTTTAGTTGTTCGGAATTCGCTTTAAACCTTAGTCCCCGGTCTAATAGGATCGTAGAGCATTGCGGGGGCATTGTTACTCCGCGTCCGTAGCTTATCTTCCCGCTACACGCCCCTCCTGGGTAGTGCTAAGTGAGTAACGTATGTGCAGCGCTTGCCTTAAGGCATCCAAGACCGAGCTGTCTAAGTATTTGCCAGCTGCATTAGAACAAAAAAAAATTATCTATATTGGTTGTAAACGGGGCCTGATGGCCGAGTGACTAGCGCTCTGGTGCACGTTACCACAGAGGTTTCGGGTTCGAGTCCCGGCCGTGCCATGGATGTTTTTAGTGGTTCGGAATTCTCTTTAAACCTTAGTCCCCGGTCTAATAGGATCGTAGAGCATTGCGGGGGCATTGTTACTCCGCGTCCGTAGCTTATCTTCATGCTACACGCCCCTCCTGGGTAGTGCTAAGTGAGTAACGTCTGTGCAGCGCTTGCTTTAAGGCATCCAAGACCGAGCTGTCTAAGTATTTGCCAGCTGCATTAGAACAAAAAAATTGGTTGTAGATGAGGGTGTATTATTTATGTAAAATATATGACTGACGTATTACAAATGTATGACTGAGGTGTCTAAAATGTATGAATGAGAATTGAAGGATTAGTTTTACAAATTCATAGATCCATAGCATAAAATTTTTGTAGCACAAAATTGTAATGCATTGCTGCCAATGAATGTTATTATTTATTAATTATATTAACTTAAGATGAAATTGTATTATTTATCTAAAATAAGTGACTGGGGCATCTAAAATGTACGACAGAGGAATGAATGCACAACTTCATAAGTTAACGGTCTATAAATTTAGAAACATAATATTGGAAGCAAATGGGTTTATTTATTATTTACATTTTAGAATGGCCGAGTGGCCATTCTAAGTGGAGTTCTTCCGAGTGGCCTGAATGGCCGAGTGGCTAGCGCTCGGTACCACAGGTTTCGGGTTCGAGTCCCGGCGGTGCCATGGATGTTTGTAGTGGTTCGGAATCCACTTTAAACCGTAGTCCCGGTCTAACACGATCGTAGAGCGTTGTGGAGAGTGACATATTAAAAATAAGGAAAAACTCACTGTTCATATATATAGGGATTAGGGGATTATAGTCCTTGTTGCTTCACATCCCCATATACCACTTCATTCATCATCATTATTTAAATCGGTTAAAGATTAATGCGTATTATGCATCATATTAATAAATATTGCATTCCAAATTCATGAATGATTTTTGAGTACACAATATTACATACATTGCTCTATATTATTTCTTATAACAAAAACACATTAATTTAATTAACATAATTTCGACTCATTTATATATTGAAATTGCTACTATTTTTTAAGCAACATTTCATAGCAACATCTCTAGCTATCTGGGGTGCACTTATTTTAGGTTTTTTCTTAACCTTGTTAATAATGACACGTTCTTCTCTTGTAGAAAATATTCGAGGTCGTCCACTTCTAGTCTTATTTTCCGTTGATCCTGTTTCCTTGAACTTTTTTACAACACTTCCGACAGTAAATGAACTTATATTGAACTGCACTCCTATAGCACGATAAGTTAAACCTTCATTTCTGAGCCTAATAATCATGTTTTTAACACCAACGTCCAACTCCTTCGATTTCGAAGTCATTTTACTGCAGTAATCGCAAAATAATGCATAGACACGTTTGGAGTAGTTTTGCAGACTTTATACCGGTAGAGTTTCTTATCAATCGAAACACGTGACTTCAATGTAACAAAATTTGCATAGCAGTTAAAACTTTGCCAATACTTTTTTGACACGCAAATGTTCGTTTTTGAAAGAAAAAATCGTAGAAAATGCAAATTAAAATAAATTTTTTACTATTTTTATATATATAAGATGTCCTGTATTTAATTACTACAGCTAAAATTGCATAACATTTTATTTATTTGCCAATATGAATAAATTAAGGCAATTGCCAATACTTTTTTTACCCACTGTATATCAAAGCTTGGTTCAAATTGAACTTGAATGAAAATAATCAGTACATCACCATTAGCACACATCTGCAATAAATTCACCCAATCCTTAATATAATTGGAATAAATAAATAGCAATATAAATAACTGCATGTGGGATCAAATATAGAAATTGCAGTTTCATAATGCATATGAATCTTTGCTTACATTGAAAAATCGCTTACCTCATACATACTTTGATATTTTGCCAAGTATTAGAAACAGTAGAATTCTACTAGATTCTAATCCTACTGTGCGTGACTCAATTGGCAAACCCTTTTGGAACACATCAGTAAATGTACTCAGCCCACACATGTGTCGTTATGCAATATCACTTTGGTTGCGCAACAATTGCTCAACATCCCTAACTACGTTTAGACGTTAAAAACTAAGAAAAATTTCCATACAAATACAATTGTTGTTGTTGTTTCTTATCCCACTTGGCTGGCCAAGCCCACGAGTCCATATGGACTCATGATTGAAGGGGAAGGAAGCAGCTTCTGTTGTGATGGAGCACCCGTAGGTAGAAGCCTGACTTTTGCTCTGTGACGCTCTTACAGTCATAGAAGACCGGGACCTACGGCTTAAAGTGGATTCCGAACCACTACAAACATCCATGGCACCGCCGGGATTCGAACCCGAAACCTGTGGCACCGAGCGCCAGAGCGCTAGACACTCGGCCATTCAGGTCCCAAATTTGCCAACGGCACGCAGTGTTCCCAGGTGGTCACCCACCCAAGTACTGACCGCGCCCAATACAAATACAATTTGAGAAACAAAGCTTTAAAATATAACAAAAAATTCAATTTAAGATTTATGTTCTTTTTTCTAAATTAATTTATTCTAAAAAAGCAATACTCTTCTATTCCATCAAAACGTTTTTTTTTTATCTTTTGTTTGCTAATTGTTATTTAAAAATTTTTAATCTTTAAATCTTTTTAAAATTTAATCTTCTTTTTAAAAAACGGCAAATGCACAAATCTTCATCTGTATTTTGGAACACCATGTTTTTTTGTATGTTCTTACACAAATAAATCAGGAAAATTTGATCAAAGCATTTGCACTTCACAGAATGCCGAGTTCCAGTAATTTTTTTACACGTATTTTTTTTACCGCGTTTTCTCCGGAATTCTCTTTATACGGTAAAAGAAAATTTAAATTTTGATGGCCAGTAAAATTTCTCAAAATAGAAATATAAATCAAAAATAAATTTCTAACACAAGTTGATGTTTGGAAATGCTGTTTCAACAAAAGAGTCATGTTCCGATTTTAGAAGGTTAATCTTATTAT